TAGGCCTGAATAAAGACTGCATCCAATGAAGTGGGTTCTAGCCCATGAAAGCTTATGCCCAAATAAATTTGTTAGTCTCTGAGGTGCCACAAGGACTCCTTGTTGTTTTTATAAGGAACCCTGTTCCTCCCCTGCACAGACTACCTGCATCACCAGCATGTTGGTTCCACCCCCACAATGGGTTGGCCAACACAGCTAAGTTAGCACTATGGTGGAGAAAGCTGAGCCAGCCGTTTTCCTAATGCTGCTTACTTCACCCCAAAACAAGAGGAAAAAAGGGATCAAGTTGTCACCTAATCACAGTTGGGTCCCCTACCTACTCTGAGTAGCGCAGTTATGTGCTGCCCCTTACTCCACTACCCTGCCCATTCACTTCTGTGTTTCTGCAATGGAAAAGTTTCCGGTACTCAGGCCTGTTGCTACAGTTGGAACAAAACATCATTATCCTGTCATCTCCTCCTTATCTTTATGAAGAGTCTGTGTGTTCTTGTACCATCTCTTAGGAGTGTGTACGTAGTTAATGTGTGTTTTTGTGCCATCCTCTTACGTCATGTACATGCTTTCTTGGCATTAACAAATACCTATTTTGTTGTGTTTCTGCCAAGGTCAGGCCTACTCTGGTTCACACTATTAGTTATGCCTAGGGCTCCAGCAAGGCCTACAGTGAGTAGAAAAAGACATCAAAAGACTGAAGTGTGACATTTGTTTTACTTATGTAATAAAAAGTTGAAAAGCAAAATATGATGTAGAATCAAACATTTTTATTGAATGTATATATGTGTAGGATGAAAGGACTGGGGTCAGGCAACGGACATAAAAGGCTAATGTCTATGGAGACAGTGATAATCTTCTGTTTTAAAAACAAAAAGAACCCACCAAACAGTGACAATGCTAGTGTTATCGCATGCAAAAATCCCCATCTTTTAGAACACAGGATTTCTGATGCACCTTTGTTGGCATTTTATTTGTCACCGGCAAGTTACACCAGAACTCCAAATTAAGAACAGATAGGCTCCCCTCCCCCACTGCTCATTTGGCTTTTATTTATATAGTGCCTAAAACTTTTGTCTAAAATCTTCTGAAATGCAGAAAATTGCATCAAGTATGTTACAATTTGCTGGGGGATGACCTCCAACCCCCCTCCTTCAAATCTTTGACTCACCACAGCATCCAGCCTTTTGTTTGCCTATCTAAAATTCTGTTGGTAAACAGGGTGGGATTTGCAAAGCACTTGAGGGAGTGAGGTATCCAACTCCAACTTATTTTCAGTGGAAGTTGGGCAACTAACTCCCTTAGGTGCTCTTGAAAACCTCCACTCACACTGAAAATGTATTCATGGTTAAGCTCAGGGCAAGTTTTCAATCTAGTGCCAAAACAGAAACTTGATTAAGAAATAAATTATCTTGCTTTAGCTGTTTGCATCCAGATTTTTTGAAACAAAAATCATTGTTTCTGTAAAAATGGTATTAGGAACAATTTCATATGATACGAGAGTCACAGAATACTATTCTCTTGATACCATTAAGACATTTTTAATAGCAGATCACCTGCAAATTACAATGTTCCAGTCTATTACTGCAAATTCAAGCATCTCTTGGTAGGGTCCATACATTTTCACCTAGTGGAAGAAGCAACACTGCATAATCAATCTCAGCAATACACTGGATATTACTATAAATATAGACTGTTTCCTAAGATGGTCTTTAGATTATTTCAAGTTGTACTGAATCTGTTACCTACATGTGAATCATCAAGGTTACTGGAACTGCTCTGATTTTGTGAGAAGAGCTAACACCACCTTCTTAGCAAAACAGCTACCTTCCATTTTCCAAAATTCTGTCAGCAGCAAAGTTAATTGGAAGAAGAGGAGAACATCTCAATATAAATTCTTATTTGCAGTAGGTAGAGTCCAAGAACCAAACTGAAAAATGTGAGATCACTTCTAAACGGCAAAGTTGTGTTGGCAAGCTATGTCAGTCAGACCGGGGGGGGGGGGGGGGGGGGGGGGGGGGGGGGAAGAGGAGGAGAAAGAGAGAAATCACATCTCTGTCGGTCAAATGGACCATGCAGATGCCACTATATGACAAAATAACTCCTTTGCTAGTGTACCTTACGTCATTCGGGGAGTTGGATTAGCTATACCAACAAGATTTTTTTTGCTGGTATTACTCTCCACTAAAGGAGTCTGTCAATAAAGCTTTACCAGCACAACTGTTTTGGCAAAGCCTTTGTAGTGGAGACTAGTCCTGAATGTTTCCAGATATCACGGGACATCCTGGTTAAATCAATGTGGGTACTTTGTAGAGCAGGGATCGGCAGGTAAGCACCCCTGGCAGGGCGGGCTGGTTTGTTTACCTGCCCCGTCCGCAGGTTCGGCTGATTGTGGCTCCCAGTGGCTGCGGTTCGCCTCTCCAGGCCAATGGGGGCGGTGGGAAGCGGCGGCCAGCACATCCCTCAGCCCGCGCTGCTTCCCGCAGCCCATGGGCACTTTCGATGGACCTGGCTCTTTGCAAGAGTAAATCCAGCAGCATCATACATGGGACTGCCTGCAGCATACTTCTTATGTCCAATCAAAATACATCATAACAACAAAGATCTCAACCTAAGCAATATCAGACTCTAACCAAGGCCTTGCATATGTCATGTTAAGCTAGATCTAAAAGTCTGCAGAAAGGCACTCTTTTTTGTGGCACTGATAAAACTAAATTCTACAGCAGCTTCATTTAAAATTAAAAAACTGATTTTTTGATAATACACAAAAATATAGTCCATACAGTAATCTTTGTGCTATTTTGATAGAAAATTCAGATTATATGCTATCCCCCATATTTTCATTTTTCTGTGTCAGACCTTTGTACCAACAATGCACAACTTTCGTTTCAAGAGGTCAAGGAGAATCTGAAGGTTTTGACAGCTAGACGGGGAACAGAACTTTTGAAGCCTCAAAGCATAGGAACCAGTTTGGGATCATTAGATAGACACCTCACCATCCCCAGCTGGTGTTGAGCCATAGTCAATGTACTGAGGTCAATGCAGAGCAAGTGTAGACATGTTATTTATATCAATCATCACTGTCCTCCAGCAGCTGTCACATAACACCTGACACTGACCATTCTGGTCACTACTGTGAACTCCACTGCCCACAGGTCACAAAGACCAGAAGGCCCTCCTACCTTTTAAAGTCCCACGAATTTTTGAAATGCCTTTTCCTGATTGTTCAGCTTGCTGAGCACACTTAGCAGCTTTCCGTGTGTGTGTGTGTGCGTGCAACTGCCCAGCTGATCATGCTGGCTACACACTACAGATGCACTCCAGCTTGGAGAAGACATGAAATACTGGACCTACTGGGCCTGTGAGGAGAAGAGGCTGTGCAAGCACACCTACGGATCAGTGCTAGAAACAGAGACATCTACAATCAGATTGCATGGGGGGACGGGGATGAGGAGGTTTGCAGGAGAAGGTATGACAGGAACCAGCAGCAGGAACTGCTTCAGGCATATCAGAAGGCCAATCAACCTAGTGCCAAACCCCGCACCTGCTGTTTTTACAAAGAGTGGCATGCCATATTTGGCAGAGACCCCACCACTACCCTGAATGCCCCCATAGAAATGTCTGAGGAGACCAAGCCAGAGGCCCCTGGTGTGAACAATGAGGTCGAGGAGAAGGATTGGAGGACATACAACTAGTGCATCCAGCTATGCCATGAGCCAGGTGAGACTCCACTGCAATCCCAGCAGTCAAGCACAGGCAAGTCCAATGCAGTGGAAGGAATCTCAGGTAAACGTGAATTGTATTTACCCTTACAATGATGTATTGAAGGCATCCTCAACTTAACAGGACAACTATGAAGTGCGCTTTCCCCTTTCTAGGACAGGAGAACAGCCCTAACACCTTCAGCTACAGTGGCGAGCCAGACCAAGCTGCAACAAGATGCCCATGCTGTGCACAGGCCCCATGATTGCCTTAACTTTGCCCTGTAACATGTGCTTACATAGACAAGATATCACTGTTCTCTTGTCCTCTTTCCCCATTCCCTCCTATGGTTTGCTATACTTACATATTTTATCTTTGATTTTAAGCTTTTTGGAGATAGGTTCTGTACAAACTTATAGAAAGACATGATCCTAGCACAAGACGACTCTAATCCTAATTAGAACCTCTGAGCATTGCCATAAAAGTAACAATCACCTCCTGCTAAAATAATGGATCTCTGATGTTCCTTCTGAACCCATTTAAAATACAACAGTATTAAGTGTCTACTTAAGATTCAAGGCCTGAATTTCACCACTAAGTCAAATAACTCACCAGTTCTTAACAGTGAAAAACCATATTAAACCAGGCATTCTAATTTTAGGCTGCTTGTACTGAGCAGCCAAGGGAAGGACCACGGTGAAATCCAGGAAGCTGAAAACACAAGTAATGTATGTTGTTTGTTTGACAAATGTAAGAGAAAAAGGTCTGGCTGAAGGATAGGCACCAAAAACCTGCTGCAGTCCAGGACCTCAAAGGATCTGCCAAACGGAGTGAGGCGATGGGTTCAAATTTCCTGTTCTGTCGCCAGCTGTGGCCAACTCTTGGTCATTCAGAAGGATGCAAATCTCACCCCCCACTCCCGGGATGATAATGCACCGAGGCCACCGCGCAGCGCTGCGCCCGGAGAGGAAGCTGCTCCTGCTGCATCCCACACGCTGGGGCCGGGGCCACACGCGCTACCGCATAACCATCAGCGCTCTCAGACCCGTCCCGCAGCCGCTGACACGCCCTGCCCCCGGGGAGCTGAGCGTCCCCAACCCCCTGCCGGGCCGAACCGCCACACAGGGCAGGGGCAGCGCCGGCGGGCCGGCCGCAAGGGGGCCCGGACCCCGCCCGGGAGAGCAGGGAGCGGGGGAACGAACCCTCCGGGACCCCGCACGCCCGGGGGATCGGAAAGGGAGACCGGCACGCCCCGCAAGCGCAGAGCCCCCCGGCCAGCGCCGCGCCGGCCCCGGCCCGGCTCTTACCGTAGGTCTCGGACATGGCTGTCTGCGACATTTTGGAAGCGTCGCGCCTCCACCTCCTCCCGCGCCTTCGGCTGGTGCTGAGCGAGGGGCTGGGGGCGCCTCAGGCCGCCAGGTACAAAGGGCGGGGGGGGGGGGGGGGGCCCCCACCGCGGCCGCCGCTACAAACCCCCCAACCCGAGAAGCTTCCCCAGCAGCAGCAACTGGCTTGGAACGGACACGCACTGCCACTTCTGCGCATGCGTGCGCACGCAGCTCTTCACCCCCAACCTCTTGGGGCGTGGTCTCTCCTCCACACATGCGCATTGTCTGCTCTTCTCCGCCCTCCTCCCCACCCCCAACGGCGCTCACCAAAACAAAGCGCACGTGCGCGGCTTTAGAACTAGCCGCGGAGCCGTTGGGAGGAGACACGGAACGAGCCGAGCAGGTGATGTGGGCGTGGCTGCCCTTACGCGGGCAGGTGACTGAGGGCGCGAGGGAGGGGCGGGCGGCGGCTGGTGCAGGGCCGGTAACTGTATGGGAGGCACGTGAGGAGGGTCAGGTGGGTGGTGTCACTTCGCCAGCCCCTGGTGCGCGATAGGTGGGACCCTTCCGGCCGCAGTGCAGCTTCTCGTGCGCTGGCCTGGGCCGCCAGCGGGGTAGGCAGGAGTGGGATGGCTGGGGCGGGTGGTTCGTGGGCCCTGAGGTAACGCGGGGGCATCGGGGCTAGCTGTGCCTCTTTACCCGGCCTAAGGCCAGGCTGGCTACCAGTAGCCCGAGGGCTGCCGGTGATTTGATTCTAGTGGAAGCAACCCACCCTTGGGTGCTTGTGTCTTCCTGTGACACACACTTAAAATGAGTTTCTTGGTGGTGGTTTGATTAATAGAGCTGCTGACCTGAAAGGCCTTATATTCAACATGGCCCCCACGCGGAGGGGAGGGTGATGATTTTTGTAAATAGTTAGATTTGTGAGTTCTTGATCCTTAATAATCAGTCTCTTGGAAATGAGGGAAGAGGTATCAATATAAAGCCAAGTAATAGTAGTAATAGATATGGTCTCATAGGCACCTACTCCAGCCCTGGAGTACCCATGGAAAAAAATTAGCAGGTGCTTAGCACCCATCTGCAGCCAAGCTCCCCCCCAGTGCCTTGTGCCTGTCGGCGGCTCTACTGATCAACTGCTCCCCCTCCCTCCCAGCGCCTCCTGCCCACCACAGATCAGCTGTTCCATAGCATGCAGGAGGAGCAGGGATGGGACACGCTCGGGGGAGGGGGCAGAACTGGGCGAGAATGGGCGGAGCAGAGGTGTAAGGGGGTGGAGGATTGGGGGAAGGGGTGGAGTGAGGGCAAGGCCTGGGGCAGAGTGGTGGCAGGAAGAGGCAGGGCTAGGGTGACCATACATCCCATTTTGGCCAGGACAGTCCCCTTTTTTAAGTCCTGTTCCATCTGTCCTGACTTTTTTGGCACAAGTTGGCATTTGTCCCATTTGCTCTTGCTGACTTGGTCAGTTGGCAAGAGCAAATGGGACAAATGCCCACTTTTGTCAAAAAAGTGTGGTGTGGTGCAGAGGAATGTGCGGAGGTGGGGAGAGGAGGCGAACGGAGATTGCAGTCCCACTCGGGGGGAGGCGGGCTGGGGGATACGCAGCGTTCCAGCATGCGAGGGGCTGTCAGGGTTCCAGCGACCGGCAACAGCCTTGCGGGGGGGAGGGTGCTCGGGTGAATGACTAGGGATGTCCCATTTTCCCTTTGGAAAATACGGTCACCCTTGGCAGGGCAGAGATGGATGCTTGGAGGAAGGGGTTGAGTTGGGGCAGGGTCTGGGGCTGAGTGGGGGTTGAACACCCCCGGGGAATGTTGGAAGCCGACACCGCTTGTGTATGGTCTAGGGCCCTAGTCCTGCAACAAGCCCCAGACTGGTGAACATCTGCATCTACCAGTCCCATTGACTTCAGTGGTGTTCCGAAATGATGTTTTGTCAAAGTTGCAGACTGAAACTTCATTAATAAATTTAAATACTGAGGTCTGGAAGTTGTCTGGTTTATTTACATGGCTTTTTGCCATACTCTGATATATGGTGTCATTTTTATGAATCAACTAATAAGGTCTAGATTCTGTAAGTCAGTAGCTTTTGTTTTTAAAACATTGTTTCAGTGGGCTGTGATGGTTTTAATATAATATTCTTATGCTGAGTTATTATATGGTGCATTCATAAATATTGATAAGGGTTTTAAAAAGGCACCATCTGCCTGAAATTTGGTAAATTTCAGTACATTGAGTAGTTTCAGGTAGGACACCTATTTTTGTCATTTTAAAACACTTCTTTAAAACACATAAACAACAGAAGAAACTGACTCAATAGCTAACTGATTATATAGGGTAAAACAGTGAAACTGATTACACACATTTAAAATACACAAAGTAAACAAACTGGGGGGAAAAGTCAACTAAAATTTTCTCCATTTCCATTCAGGTATTGTAATCTTAAGTATTATTTGTAACAATAGTAAGTTTTATTTATATATAGCTATAGATAAATATATATACACACACAGGAGTTTGAGTTTTAAATTGCATTTCCCTTTAATGAGTCAACATTAGTATCCTCTTTCTATTGTCAATAGTGTCCCCTGGTGGTTGATAAATTCTGTGATCCCTTTATCTAACCACCTGGAGAATGTGCTTCAGGGCTAGATGGAAAAGCAGGTTGCCATGAATAGGCAACAGTGGAGAGGGACATGAAGAATAACACAAATGTTCAAATTAGAAAAGTGTACTTTAGAAAGGAGTTTTCAATAATGGCTGAAAGATAGCAGTAATGTATGAAGAACAGGAGTACTTGTGGCACCTTAGAGACTAACAAATTTATTAGAGCATAAGCTTTCGTGGGCTACAACCCACTTCTTCGGATGCATATAGAGTGAAACATATATTGAGGAGATATATATACACACATACAGAGAGCATGAACAGGTCGGAGTTGTCTTACCAATTCTGAGAGGCCAATTAAGTAAGAGGAAAAAAAAAAAAACTTTTGAAGTGGTAATCAAGATAGCTCAGTACAGACAGTTTGATAAGAAGCAAGTGTGAAAATACTTACAAGGGGAGATAGATTCAATGTTTGTAATGGCTCAGCCATTCCCAATCTTTATTTAATCCTGAGTTGATTGTGTCTAGTTTGCATATCAATTCCAGCTCAGCAGTCTCTCGTTGGAGTCTGTTTTTGAAGTTTTTCTGTTTTAAGATAGCCACCCGCAGGTCTGTCATAGAATGGCCAGACAGGTTAAAGTGTTCTCCCACTGGTTTTTGAGTATTATGATTCCTGATGTATGAGGTAATCCTTATGAAAAAGTCCTATAGAACTTAATCTTATAATAATCCTATATAATTTAATAGGAAGTGATAACTTTTCTAAAGATTTTTTTTTTAAATTTATATACAGTTCAATAGACAATTGCATTCCTGGTTTGAATAAGGTAATTTTAAAACCACCTGTGGAAAGGATCCATATTTTTAGAGCAACTTCTATAGAAATTGATTACATTTCCATAGAATCTTACTGTTTTCATATTTTTAAAATTATGTAGGGCTTTTCCAAAAGAGAGAAAAGATAGAATTTTAAGATTGTGCTTGGAAATAGATAATTAGTCAATACTGATTCAAATAATTTTTGTGGGTGTACGATACCAGTCAGTACATTTTGCTTTGTTGGACAGCTAGTAATAAAGGCCTGATCCTGGAACCTGTGGGAGTTTTGAATATGCGAAGAGTGGGGTAATTACTCCTAAGGTAATTTGGTCAAGAAAATCCCCCCAGATTCGCCATTTTGTAGAGGCCAGTGGTATTTTAATCAGGGCATTTAATGAGCTTTAGAAAAATGTAATGTTTTTGTGCTGAGATTTAAACAATTTACATATGTAAAGAAATGGAGCCGATTCTTAATAGGGTGCAACTCTGATTAGCCAAACATTAGTTATCTGATAATCTCTGTTATCCAAACCAGGGTCATATCCCATGACATCATTGAATTAAATTGAAAATTTCCTTGATTACCTAAAAACCTCAATTATTCAAACTTATTCAATATCCCCCATGTTACTAGAAGTTGTACTGTATTTATAAGGGTACATAAGAAACTTTTTACACCTCTCCCCCACCCACCCATGCAGCGGTACTTTTCCGTGGGCTCCCTGGAAGCGGTGACATCCCCCTCGCTCAGCTCCTAGGTGGAGACATGGCCAGGCAGCTCTCCACACTGCCTCTGCCTGCAAGCACCACCCCCACAGCTCCCATTGGCCGCTGTTCCCGGACAATGGGAGCTGCGAAGCCAGCACTCTAGGTGGAGGCAGCGCACAGAGCTGCCTGGCCACGCCTTCGCCTAGGAGCTGAGCGAGTGGGGGTGTCGCTGCTTCTGGGGAGCCCCCCGCGTAAGCTGAGAGCCTGTCTCACCCCGTCCCATATCCCAACCCCCTGCCTCCACCCACACCCAAACTCTGCTGCTGCTTGGGGGGGAAGGCGCAGAGCCAGGTAGGGAGCCTGCCGGCCCTGTCAAACCCCGCCCCAGCACCAGCAGGCGTCCCGGGCCATGCGCCACCGCCTGCCCGCCCCAGCACCCAAGCCGTCCTCTCTCAGCACCCACGGTGCCCTCGGGCAGCCCTCACCCCCAAGTTTTAGTTGAGAGTATTTTTAGTAAAAGTCATGGACAGGTTTCGGGTCATAAATTTTGTTTACTGCCCGCAACCTGTCCGTGACATTTACTAAAAATACCCGTGATTAAAACATAGTCATAGCCATGATACACACCATTTAAGAGGGTCTAAAATGCAACGTTTAAGAAGTCCCCTGGTGTGGTTCTGCTGTGCAGGGGCTGGGGCAGGAGTCAGGAATCTCTCACAGAGGTCTGCTTGTCTGTGTGCCATGGACAGGAGCTTCACATGAGCCAACTGTACTGCAGCATGAGGGTAAGGTTGGGCGAAGGGGCCAGGGTCAGTGAATCCCTCAGTATAGATGCTATTGATTTCTCCCCCCCCCCCCCCCGGAAAAGGTTACAATGTCCATCAAACAACAAGAAGAAACGTGGTTTTACAGCAGTATCAGAGCACAGAGATACAGCAGTGGCATTTTCACTAAAATAGAAATTAGTCCCAT